CTGACCATCAGCTTGAACCCCAATATCTGTCTCTGGGTTTTTATTATTCATGTTACAGCTCCAAAATCATGAACTCGAAGCTTTCACTACTTACTGCATGCCTGTGTGGAAAACAAAAGGCTCAGCCTGAAGATTAAGTAAGTTAGAAATACCAGTTTCGGCCGGCGTTGGTTGTGCACGCCTTTAATCCCAGCACACGGGAGGCAGAGGCAGGTGGATCTCTGTGAGTTCCAGGCCAGCCTGGTCTCCAGAGTGAGTGCCAGGATAGGCTCCAAAGCTACACAGAGAAACCCTGTCTCAAAAAACACAAAAACAAAATAAAAAAAGAAAGAAATACCAGTTTAAAGTTTGCCCTAATTTCCAACGAGTTCTTTACTGGTCTCCTCTACACACCCTCATCTTTTTCTGAACAGTTCTTCACGTTATGAGCCTTGCCTCCCAACAGTCTGCCTGCCTAGCATACCTTCACTTTTTATCCCAATCTACAGCCATCTGGGCCTTCGTTCAACTCTAAACCAACACCCTTCATCTGAGACCTCCTGACATTCCAGCATTGATCATCCTATTTCAGAACATCCACTGTGCATGATGACTACAACCGTGCCAGAAGATGCTTGTTTTGAAGGTTTTATTTTTAGTCTCACAACACAGATTTTCTTGAACACAAGGGCCACTGTCTTTTCTTTCTTCTTATCAGTAAATATATGAACAAATTAATTACAAGTTAAAATAAATATTGAACAAAGACTAATTATCTGACATAACTCATTTGATGCAATTTTGTATGTTTGAAAATTTTTTTCATAGTTCTATCAGAAGTTCTTATTATCACAAACAAAGGCTTGTTTTTAGTTCTGTTCATTGCTTTTGTTGTATATTGAGAGTTTCAAAACTTGGATTATCTTCTATGATAAAAAACACTTGTTCAGTTTTATTTTATGCTTCTTGTCACTCTTTGGGGGTGTTTTGTATTTGCCACAAGCCTGTGTTCATTAGATTAGCCTGTCTTTTGATTTTCTCCTCTGAATCTGTTGAATAAAATGTCACATGGGCTTCCCCCATGTCTATTCTGAATTTCTAATTTACCTAGGACATGAGATCTCATCAATGTGCTGTTTTGTATTCTGTTGATTTTCAAGGTTAGATGGAGAACTCTTTCCTCAAAGCATGGTGCACATGTCTGAGAAACACAAGAATACTGATCTAGTTATGGAAAAAATATAGGAAAAATTTCAAGCCAGACTACCTAAGGCTCTTGCCCACTTGCCTGTCACTTAACAGTACAGGCAACACAGGTCAGAACCTTGGTCTCCGGGGAATTCAACCTGAAAATTAATTCAAGGCTGGACATATTTGAACTTTCTTCTAAACTAAAACAAATTTTGAAAATTCAGAAATAATACCTCGGAATTTATTTACCTTTATTCAATTGATACAGCCACAGTCAGACTTTTGTATATCTATCATATATACTAATAATTCATCAACTTAGTTAAATCTCTATTAACATAGCTATATACAAATATAAAATCAATCTAGCACTCTTAAGATAACTTTGTCTATTCTGTAAAAATGTTGTTTTCAAAAATCAAGCAGCCAGGCAGTAGTGGCACATGCCTTTAATCCCAGCACTTGGGAGGCAGAGGCAGGTGGATCTTTTTGAGTTCCGGGCCAGCCTAGTGTACAGAGTAAGTTCAAGGACAGCTAAGACTGTTACACAGAGAAACCCTGTCTCGAGAAAAACAAAACAAACAACAAAAATCAAGCAGAGACTAGAGAGATAACTCAGTGGTTAAGAACATGTACTACTCTTCCAAAAGACCAGAGTTCAATTCCCAGCACCCACACCAGGCAGCTCACAGCCACCTATAGCTCCAGCTCCAGGGGAATCAGAGGCCAGGGGCATTTGCCCTTACCCCCCCCCACCTCCGCCCCACATACATACATATAGTTAAAAATAATTTTAAAATTAAAAGTCAAAGTGAAGAGAAAAGATATCCACCTTTTGTAAGACTTTAGAAAAAGATGGAATTTGTCTTCTTCAGACAGAGAGTAAAGGGAGGAAACATCATGCTTGTGCTTGTCATCTCTTGCCTTCGGCAGCTGATGCATCACGGGCTGTCATTCATTTAGACTGTGACGTCACATAAAGGGCCCACATGACTTCCCAGCAGGCAAGGCCAAATGATTTCCAAAACAGCTTCAGGATTTAAAGTGTAAGGAACATTTCAGCAAAAATGCACATCTACAGTTGGTCCTGCATTTGTTGAGCACTATAAAGAATAACAGCAGCTGTATCTCTAATGATAACGTACAGAAACATGAGGGTTGGCTGATGGAGTCATTATAGGGAAAAAGCTGACAGAAAAGACACATCAAATGAAACATGAGCTTGGCTGATTTGCCCGTTCATTTTTAGCCAGCTGAAAGCATCCTTTTGCCTTTTGGAAATGAAGAGTAATTTCCAAACTTGAGTAACTTTCATGTGCAAATCGGTCTCCTCATCCTGTATTCAAATACTAGTTAGGTTTACTCAGATATTATAAAGTACCAGGGAAGTTATAGCAGTCAAAAGAGACAACTTTCAGAAGTGGAGGGTGGTCTCCATTTTTGAAAGAATTGTGTCTGCCATTTACCATGAGATAACATGTTCAGGAGGGAGTAGAGAGGACTGACAGTAAACAAGAATACTGGTGACAAGTGTGCTATTTTCAATAATTTTGTTTGGGATTTTCTCTAAAATTTTTTTTAAAATAACCCCAGCTGGGCAGTGATGGCAAATGCCTTTAGTCCCAGCACTTGGTAGGAGGAGGCAGGTAGATCCCTGTGAGTTCGAAGCCAGCCTGGTCTACAGAATTCCAGAACAGTCAGGAGAAACCTTATTTTAAAAAAACAAACAATCTGGGTGTTGGTGGTGCACGCCTTTAATCCCAGCACTCGGGAGGCAGAGGCAGACGGATCTCTGTGAGTTCAAGGCCAGCCTGGTCTCTAGAGCAAGCACCAGGATAGGCTCCAAAGCTACACAGAGAAACCCTGTCTCAAAAAAAAATCAGTTTGAGCCAAGCAGTGGTGGTGTACACCTTTAATCCCAGCACTCAGGAGGCAGAGGCAGGCAGAAGTCTGTGAGTTCGAGACCAGCCTGATCTTCAAAGAGAGTTCCAGGACAGCCTCCAAACCTACAGAGAAACCCTGTCTCAAAAAACAAAAACAAAACAAAACAAAAAACCCAAACAAACAAACAAGATAAGCAAGCCCAAATAGTAAGATATTCAAAAGTCACACATTTTAGTCTCCACTTCTGTGAAAAATCAATAAAGCAATTATTCTTTGCCTGATAATTCTTTTTATTTAATGAACAGTTATTTTCTTCTTCAAGAAACTGGTGCAATTCTTGACTTTGAATAGTTAACAATTATGGGGCACTAGTAACTCTAGAATTTAGTCTATTCATCTGCATTATAGAAAGTTTAGTGTCAACCTTGTATGTAATATACTGGTTTATTCACCCCAAAATGGACACATGTTATTGCCTTATCATTAATTCATCATATCATACAGCATTTAATAAACAAATCTGGCTTCTCCCATCACTTACTGTATCAAACTGATCTATCCAAGGTCAACAATAACCTCCATGATGCCCTCAGTACCTATTTATTGTATGGAATTTCTCAGCATCATTTGTTCTTATTTACCATGCATGTTGATGCTTTCCTTAATCACTCTGACAGTGTGCTCTGGTTGCTCTCTTCTCTCTCTGACCATATCTCTTTTCTTGACTCACCCTCCATCCAGCCTTTAAATGTGGTTGCTCTCCAAAACCCAGTTTTATACCCTTAGTTTTACTCTAAACTCTCTCTGTGTAATGCTATCCATTCCTACTGCAAATTCATACCAGTATCCAAATGTGCCATCAAGTTACCCTCTTGACATACCCATTTGGCTTGGATATCTCAAGGATACCTTGAATTAAATATAAAAGGGCAATTTAGGAATGAATATTCATCCCAAAGAATGGCATCACCTCTTCTCTAGTTATTAAAGCTGGAAACTTTAGGATGATTATGAAAATTCCTCTCTTCTCTTTTTGAAAACTCCTCTTTTCAATAAAATTCAATGCGAAGGCTTGTAAGACCTAGTCACTAAATGTTTTTTCAAGGTACCCACTTATTTCCTTTTTATAAGATTCGTTTATCTTATTTTAATTATGTGTAGATGTGTGTGCTTGCATGTGGCTAGGTGCATGTGCCTGCAGGCACCTGAAGTAGCCAAAGGTGTCATGCATGTAGCCTGGAGCTGGAGCTGCAGTTACAGACTGTAGTGAGTTACTTGATATTTGTGCTGGGAACCAAACTCTGGTCCTCTGACAGAACAGGAGCTTCTCTTAACCACTGAGCCATCTCTCTAGCTGCTACTTCTTCCCATCTTGACTGTATCAACTAAATCTAACTTTGTCACTTGAAAGCTGGACCTACCCTCCTTTCCTGCCTTGCTTTTGCTCCCAAATCACTCTAGGCGATACAAGTAGATTGACTGTTTACAACAACATTCTGAAGATCAGGGATATAGCTCCGTTGGTAGAGGGCCTGCCTAGCATGCATGAAAAACAGCACCAACCACATAAACCAGGCTTGGTGGCCATGCTTGTAATTGCAGCACTTGGGAGCTGACAGAAAGGGGACCAGAAGTGAAAGGTCATCCTCACTGTGATTGCAAGTTGCAGCCCACCTGTTAAACATGAGATCCTGTCTCAAATAAGTGAACTATCGTTCTTGAGGCTGGAGAAATGGTTCAGGGGTTAAAAGAGCTGGCTGCTCTTGCAGAGGACCTGGGTTCAGTTCTCAGCACCCATATGGGGCAGCTCACAACTGTCTGAAATTCTAGTCCCATGGGATCCAATGCCCTCTTCTGGCCTCCATGGACACTGCATGTACGTGGTACACAGATTTACCTATATACATAAGGTAAAAATGAAAATAAAACAGCACAACATTACAACCTTTTAGTCTTTACAACCTTTAATCTACTATTCTGAAAGGCTAGCATCTCAAAGTTCTCTACCAAGTCTCACTCGATCTGGCCAACAGTCCACAGTCATGGACAGTATCTCATGCCCTCGTCCTCACTGCCCCCACATCTCAGCACTTCCTTCCATTACTCCAACATTTCATGCTCCTCCTCAGGCTTTGGTTTTTACATATATTCCTGACTCAATTCTGAAAAATCTGCCACAACCCACTCACCCTCAGTCAACTCCTACTTATCTTTTAGAACTTACCACAAATGTCACTCAAAAGACATAAAAGAATTCCCTCATAACTAAACAATGTTCAATTTTGCAGTATGTACTTACATAAAAATTTTAAAAGATCTTTTCGTGTGTGTGTGTGTGTGTGTGTGTGTGTGTGTGTGTGTGTGTGTGTGTGTGTGTGTGTTGCTGATGATGGAAGTCAAAGTCTTCTTGCAAATTAAGCTTGGACTTTACTTGATTTGCAATCCCCTGCCCCAAACTCAAAGCTATAAAGCATAATGTACATAATGCAGTTTCATTAACTGCATGGAAGAGGAAAATAGTTCTTCCATGAAAAATGTGCATAATATTAAGCATCATAACAATATTTAATTTTTTATTGGTTTATAACTTTTCTTTCCTAAAAATAGGTTTGCCAGCAGAATACTGAAATAGGAAATAGATTAATCTTATGATTACATCTTAAAAAATTATCTCTCACTATAAGATAGTTTTTAGACCAAAAAAATATGACAGGTGACTCATAAACAGAACACTTAGCACCCAAGTTAAAAAGAACAGAGTATAAGTGATAACACCTAATTAAAATCATAAAATTATATAATAGAGCTTCTTCAATCACTTAAAGAATAAACAAAAAATGCTTGCAATAGGACCAAATGTAAAAGTCAACATGAAAATGTGGTTTTCATAAGAAAATTTAAAAAATCACATGAATTTATAACCATTAGATAGATTTTTATATAAGCCTTTTGATCCTGGTACTATTTGGGTAATTCTGAAGGTATTATTTTTTAACTTTAAAATATTCTTTGTAAAACATTTACTTCAGTTTGAATGGTAAGTCTTCATTTAGTAAGTCTACTGCTTCAAAAAGTTTTTGTTCATGAAATTGTGTATGAGAACAGAGTAAATTAAAAGACCTCCTTGGCGGCCGGGCGTTGGTGACGAACACCTTTAATCCCAGCACTCGGGAGGCAGAGGCAGGCAGATCTCTGTGAGTTCGAGGCCAGCCTGGTCTCCAGAGCGAGTGCCAGGATAGGCTCCAAAGCTAAACAGAGAAACCCTGTCTCGAAAACAAACAAACAAAAAGACTGTTAAGTTTTCAAAGCTTATTAATTTTGCAACCTTACTGAGAATGTGTCAAATGTGTTACAAAAAAAAAAAAGACCTCCTTGATTGCTTTTCTATCTCTAATAAATATTTTTAGGTTTAAAATTTCTCTTACAGTGATTTAGTGATTTGATCATATACTCTAATCTCTTAGTAATTCAAAGAAACACTTAACCAGATATTACAATAACAAAGAAAAGGTAAAACTTAAAAATGTATTAATATACTAACTCAGGGAGATAAAAGTAACCCCCATTTTCACTGGAAAAAAAAAAAAAGAAAAGAGGAGTTTTACAAATTTTCTCTCCAAAATAGAAGCAGATGCAGAGGTTGTTTCTGCCAGAGTACAGATCATGGACTGTGGCCCCTGTCCACTGAGGGCACTTGGTCACCTCCATTGCTCTCTTTGCCCACTTGGTAGGTGCGAAGCTGTTCTATGAAGCCAGGATTCGGACATATGGATGGCCTTGCATCTTTCACCAAGGACAAAGCATTGGTGAATTCAATCTCTTCAGAACTCATCAGGAAGCCAATGACAATCGCAGCAGCCCTGGAAACCCCTGCATTACAGTGAACGAGAACCACGCCATCCTGAAATGACATCAAACAAAATTCACATTATTCACCTGAGAAAGGTAATTAAATCAATTACACAGTCTTAGCAGACTCAAAACTATAAAGTAAAAAACTCATCTTGTCTATTTATTCCACAGAATAAATTTCACTGCAAAACAATGAGGGAGAAAAAAAAATCATCTAATGCCTGCTCTTCCCCAGGACTGAAATGCTCTCTGATAATGTGGTTGGAATTCTCAAATGACATCTTTTCTAGGACTCAATAATCCACACAAATACTTAGCAACTTACCAGCACATGTGTATAAATAACTGGTGTCCTTGGCTTGGAAATCTATGTACAAAATCATTAGTAAGGAAAAAAAAACAACATGCTTTTGGGACTATTATTCTTTAAGGAAGTAAATTAAAAATATATTCTTAGCTGATCAGTTAGTAAATGATGGCATGAACAACTTATAACATCCTGAAATGGAAAATGTAATTATATACCAGCAGTGAGGTCAATACATGAAAAACTTTTCAGGTAACCTGTAAATGATACTTTACAAGTGAAATGGACACAATGCAGGATGGATGCTAGTTTGGGCAATTTTGTATTAATAATGAATGCAATAGATCTGATGGATCAACAGTGATACAGCTTGGTCTATTGCAGGCTCTTAAAAAATTAATGATCTACAGTGAATGGAGCACACACCACAGAATTAAACATTTCAGCAACTTTATTTCTCCACTCTTCATCTGGTACAACACAGGAAAAGGCCAAGAAGGGACCATATTACTAGAAACCATAGCCCCTGGACACACATTACACTACTGTTGTTATGGGCCATTTGACTATTTTAGGTTTGCAAGGCAGCTTCCTCACATCTGTGTATCTGTGATAAAATTAACTTCTCTATCCACTGTATCAAATCTGCAAGTGTATCTCTTTTCAAAAATGATTAGCAACAAAAATATTTTTGAAATTTCTCACATCAACAAGCCTGCTTTCTTACAGGGGTCTACAAGATTTACTTTTGAGCTTTGTTTCTGCACAAGGAAAGTAAAATAATATATACTAAATACATCTATATATCAGGAACTTTTCCCACTTAAAAAACTATTTTTATTTTTTTAAAAGTATATGTGTGGGCAGGGTTGTGTATGTGTGTGGGTTTATGCATATGTGGGTAGAGCGTCCATGGAGATCAGAAGAGGGCGTCCCGTCCCCTGGAGCTGGAGTTACACTATGAGCTTCCTGGTTACTGGGAACTAACTTCGGTCCTCCAGGAGTGAGGGCTCGTAAATGGTGAGCCTTCTCTCCAGCCCCTCTCATGTTGTTCTTTGTGAGTTTTCTTCTGCATCTTGCAGCACAAAATCTATAGCTCTGCACACACTAGGCAAGCACTATATTTCTAGCTTTTTTTTTTTAAACCTTTAATTTTAAGACAGGATCTCACTAAGTAGCCCAGCGTGGTTCTAAACTCACCTGGTACTTCTCAGTCTTCCTACCTCAACGTATTTTTTTTCCACTTTGTGTCAACAGCTTATTTTGTTATGTTTTTAGAGACAGGGCTTCTCTGTGTAGCCCTGGCTAGCCTAGAACTTGCTCTGTATATCAGGCTGAACTAGAACTCATAGAGATTCATCTGCCTCTAAGTGCTGGGATTAAAGACATGAGTCATCACCTATCAGTTAAATTTTTAGACTTAAAATATTTAAAAATTGTATTACAACAACTTGAAAACTACTAATGTATATTTATATAACTTAGTTCAAAACAAATATCCAGATCTTAATTTTACCTGTTTAAAAATGTTAATATTTAGCTGGGTGGTGGCACATGCCTTTAATCCCAGCACTCAGGGGGCAGAGACAGGTGGATCTCTGTGAGTTCGAAACCAGCCTCGTCTACAAGAGCTAGTTCCAGGACAACCTCAAAAGCCACAGAGAAACCCTGTCTTGAATCCACCCCCCCAAAAAAAAAGTTAATATTTTTCTTTCACTATTTTATATAACTACTTTTTCTTTTATGTGTATGTATGTTCACCTTGTCTATACAGTTCCCTTGGAAGTCAGAAGAAGTTGTTAGATTGTGTGCTGGCTAGTCTTATGTCAACTTGAGCTATCTGGAAGGAGGTAACTTTAATTGAGAAAATACCTCCATAAGATCCAGCTGTAAGGAATTCTTTTAATTATTGATTGATGGAGGAGGGCCCAGTCCATTGTAAGTTGTGCCATTCCCTGGGTTGGTGGTCCTGGATTCTATAAGAAAGCAGGCCGAGGGCTGGAGGGACAGCTCAGCCATTAAAGGCTTGGCTCACAACTAAAAATATAAAGAAGCAGACTGAGCAAGCCATGATGAGCAAGCCAGTAAGCAGCATCCCTCCATGGCCTCTGCATCTGCTCTGGTCTCTAGGTTCCTGCCCTGTTTGAGTTCCTGTCCTGACTTCCCTTGATGATGAACAGATATGAAGTTAAGCCAAATAAACCCTTTTCTGACCAATCTGCTTTTTTTTTTTTTTTTTTTTTTTAGTGTTTTGTCATAACAATAGAAATCCTAACTAAGACAGATTCCCTGGAACTAGAGTTACAGATGGTTATGAGCTGCCATGTGGGTGCTGGGAAATGAATCTGGGTCCTCTACAGAAACAGGTACTCTTAATGGCTAAGCTGACTCTCCAGCCTTTCTAACATTCCAAACATTCTAACATGGAGTGGGGAGTGACTCATGAAGTCTTAGCCCTACTGGAGGAGCTACTGACAGTCAACAGGTGCTAGGGTACGGAAGAGTCCATTTTCTTTATAAATGTGGGCTCTGGTAGGTTGCCCATGCGCCAGTGGGTGCCCCATGCCCATGTGTATATGGGTAGCATTAATTAAACTCAGTGAGTTATTAAAAAAAAAAAAGAGGACACGAATTTGAGAGGGTGATGTGGGAGAGATTGGTATATGAGTAAAATACATTGTATCCATGTATAAATTTCTCAAAGAAAAAATTTAGATACTAAAAATCAAGTTAAAATAATGAAATATATCCATTATGTTTGGATACTCAGACTCTGACAATCAGTAAAGCAAGATTCAGATGTAACCTCCTTCTCAAGCCCAGGTCTCACAGCAAGCTTCTGTAGCACAGACCACTTAGACAGCACTCACGACTGTCCAGACATGGTGCTGTGGTTTGAATATGGGTTGAGCACGTCCCCTAGAGGCTCATGGTTTTGAAGCTTAGGTTCATGTTGTGAGGTTAGGAGATGGTGGGATTCTGGGATGTACTCCGAGTTACAGAGCTCCCACAGGACTCCTGATTAGTTCTTGGCGGAAGAGATTATTACTTTTTTTTTTAGTTTTTTTTCCTATTTTAGTTAATTTATTTTTTACATTCCAATCCCAGTTCCCTCTCCCTTCTTTCCTCCCACTCCTTCCCCTCCCTTCCTCCTGCCATCTGCTCCATGGAGAGGATAAGGCCTCCCATAGGAAGTCTATTAAGTCTGTCCCATCATCTAGTTGAGACAGGACCAAGGCACCTCTCCATCCCCACACCCTTATGTCTAGGCTGGGCAAGGTATCTCTCCATATAGAATGGGCTGGGGGGAAAGAGATTATTAGATAAACCACACCCACCATCCTGCCTGGAGATCTGATATCACTGCTATAAACAAGTCTATGATTGCAAATTCTCTGATACTGTTTTTTTTTTTATCAAAAATGTGTATATAGTCCATTATATATAATAACTAAAGGAATTAATTAGAAAACTATAAACTTAATTACAATTAAAATGTAAAACAGAATTACTTATTAATAAAAAAATATCATTTCAAGATACAACTTTAGGTGATAGCCATTCCAGAAGTCCTGTCTGTCAGGATGTTGGAATAGATCGAAGTTAATGTTGAAATAATATCTTATAGCCTGATTGTGGTGGCGAAAGTTGGGCAGTGGTTGTGTACACCTTTAATCCCAGCACTCGAGGAAACAGAGACAGACGGATCTCTGTGAGTTCAAAGCCAGCCTGATCTACAGAGTGAGTTCCAGGACAGTCTCCAAACCTACAGAGAAACCCTGTCTCAGAAAAACAAAAACAAAACAAAAAGAATATCTTATGTTGGTCTTCTAAACCAGCAGATAGTTTCTAGTTAGGATTTCATTTAATCTCAGTACAGTCATTTACATTCTGCCTTAAAATTCTATGTTCAAAATGCACAGGGGCCAGAGATACAGCTCAGCTGGGAGAGAACATGCTTGGCATGAACAAGGCCGTAGGTTCCAACCCCAGTAGAACATAAAAACATGCATAGTAATGCACACCTTTAAGTTCAGTGGGAGAGTGGTAGAGACAGGAAGATCAAAAGTTCAAGATCATCCTTGGCTACACAGCAAGTTCAAGGCTTCACCTAAGCTCCATGAATAAATAAGTAAAATTTTAAATGCACAGCTACACAATCTCTATGCCTTAGTCAGTCAAATGAGTGAATATTCATCATCATGAATCCACTGACAAGACTAGAGCAGACTGTACCCTTTAGTCCATCTGGTTTCTTACAAATCAGTCAGGATGTAGGAGCTGATACAGCCTCAGAGGATATTCAACTACATATTTGCACAGGAAAACTCAGTAATGGAGGGGGTTTATCTCCCAGTGTTTCCTGGTAAGAACTCAGAGGAAACAAAACTAAATTAAAAGTAAATTTCTCATTCAGGAAAAAAGTAATCAGAGCACCAAAAACCTGAAGGATTTAATGAGTATTACCGTAGGGAAATTTCTATAATGGTTCTTCACAAATTCATTACAATGCACAAAGACTGGGTGGTGGTCCCCTGTTTTCAGATTTCTACTTCTAAAGAACTGTATCAAAATAAAACTCACCTTCAGTTTTGCTTGCTCAATAAACTCAAAACATTCTGGAAAATAAGACAGGATATTGGTTTCAGGCACATCCAATATAGAAATGGTCTTATATGTAAACTCACTGAGGAAAGCATTTTCAACTCCATATGCAACATTGAGAATATGAGTCACCTTAAAGGAAAGAAAAAAAAAGAGGATTTTTTTAAGTTCTCTGATTGAGATGATCTAAAAACAGACTGTAATGTTAACTTCTGGAATAAAAATAATGAAAATCTAACGACTCACTGAACGATATGTCTCTTCTGGCTCATCCCTCACCAACCACGCTCTTTCATAATACATGCATGGCCCTTCTGTTGTACTCCTACTCCTTAGAGATCACCTCCCTCCCTGTACTAGAAGCATTATGGAAATACAGACCAGGTTGAACTTACTATCATGAGAGCTGAGTGAACAACAACCATAGCAGAAAGTATGGTTAAAATACTTAAAATACCTGCTGGAAAAAACACCTCAGTGAATATCCACACAAAACCTTCAGTGGGTTTTGTTGGTTTGGTCTTCTATTGCAATGAACCACAGGTGCCTATGGGGCTTATGAAAGGGACCCAGCAAAAAAGGCTTTTTTTTTTCTTTCTCAAGAAAGCCTACCTCTACCACTCAGTGAGAGAACTGTTTGTTGATGTTGGCCTTGGGATGGGATGCCCTATATAACAGGGATAGTAAGAACCATTCACCGAGGACTTCGTGTTTACCAGACATGCAGGTTGTCTCAGGCTTCTCTTATTTGGACATTATTATTTCCACTGCAAATCAAAGTTTGTTTTTAATTAGCTCTGAAATAAAAACATTGTAAAAAGGAAAGATGAAAATTCTTGCTTTCATCCTGCCTCTATTCCACTTTTTCTACTTGTTTGTTTGAGACATGGCTTCTCTGTGAAACAGTCATGGCTGTTCTGGACTTCACTCTTTAGACCAGGCTGGCCTCAAACTTACAGAGATCCCCCTGCCTCTGCCTCCCAAGTGCCTGGATTAAAGGCATGAGCCACCACTGTCCAGCTTATTTTTCCTACTCATACATGACCACATTTGCCACTTTTCTTTTATTATTCTTTTGTGATTTCTTTATGCAAATACTTTATTTCTTGATCTAAGCACTCAATGAATATCTTACTATTGCACATTTTACTTATTAGAATTAAATTCATATGGAAATTTCCTAATGGTCCTCCATAAGAGAATTTCCACCAATTACAACACTTGACCAAAATTCCAAGGCAAGGCTTTGAAACAGTGCCACCCACTTAAACTAATCATGAGGTTCACAACATCTTTATATTTTTTCTTGAAACTCTCTATCGGGCAACTCGATTTAGCTTTATTTCCCTGGGCATTATTAAGAGAGAGACTGTGTGGGAGAGGAAACAGGATCTGATAGAGATGCCCTTGTTTCACCCCCAAACAGTGAAGCTGAAAGTGGACAAATGTGCCATTAAGAGAGTGACTAAAAAAAAAAAAATCACTTGCCAATTCGAGGGTTTTTCATTTGCCACTAATTTATTAGTGGAAATGAATGAGACTGGAACTTTCTCTAGCTTTGTTAACTGTTGATGTGAGAGGGCTCCTGGTAAGAGATTTGGGATTAATCAGAAGCCAGATTAAACATGGGTCAGCAAATTAACAAGCAATGTTGTCAGACTAACTAAGGAATTTATTATTTGTTATTTTCCTTTGGGAACTTACTGCAAGTATTTATCCCATAACATTTTTTTTAATCCATGACTCAATCAATTGTTTTCTCAGAGCTGTGAATGACAAACATAAAAAGAATAAAATCTTCATCATCTCAAAGTCCTGGTAGTAATAAGTGGTGAGAGCTAAGTGAATAATGAAGTAGACCCCCAATAGGAGGAAGAGATTACTCAATGTGCCACTTTTCTCAACCATCCCTAGCCCTGTGGAGGGGGGCAGTTGTACATAGCTTTTCTCTTGGCTGAACCCATCTGTGCCATTGTTGGCTGCCAGGAGGCCTCAGTGAAACATTGCACTCTCAGAGAAATCAGCTCACCCTACCAATCCTCTTGATGCCCTGTTTGGTTCTTTCAGAGAAGATCATCTTATCTAAAAGTGTCACATAGCAACCTGCACATCTCCCCATCAGCTCTCACCATCTTACCTATACCAGCAACTGCCCTTTCTTTCTGCCTGATTTCAATGAATGATACATTCCTGCATCCTATAAAGGTTCCTTCCTGGTATGTGTGCCTGGAACCACACTCTACTTCTGAACCTTTCTCTAGTGACTTTCCTGAATCTTCTCTTCCTCCCTCTAGCATAAGTCTTAAAACATACTCAAGAATTTCTAAGCTCCATCCATTACCTCTTCTCTTACCACTGCTTCCTCATTGCCCCTCGACTTCTCAGTCCTCTGAAATCTGGCTTACAATTTCTCTTACTTGCTGTTCTATGGCTGCAAAAAGACACCATGACCATGACAACTCTTAAAAGAAACCATTTAATTGGAGGCTTGCTTGCAATTTCAGAAGGTTAGTCCATGATCATCATAGCTGGAAGCATGGTGGCAGCCAGCCAGATGCAGTGCTAGGGCAGTAGCTGAGAGCTCACAATCTGAGCCACAAGTTTCAGGCGGAAGGAAGGGGTGAGTGTGTGCCTGGCATGGGCTTTTGAAACCTCAAAGGCCATCTCTAGTGAGACACCTTCTCCAACAAGGCCACACCTCCCTAATCCTCCCTAAACAGTCTACCAACTAGCAATTCCTTTCTCCCTATAACTAACCAACCAATTGTGAGGATTTTGGCCTCGCAGAATACTTCAAATTCACCACTACTCTCTACCCCTCTGCCTTCTATTCTAAGCCACTACCATCTTCTCTCAGAGTACTGAAATAACTTCATACTTGGTCTCCCCATCTCTAACTCAAACAATTCTCCAATCTATTTCCCACACTGATTCTAATGAGAAATCTTTTTTTTCTAATTTTTTTTATTATTACAAGTTAGGGAACAAGCTTGTTTCACATGTAAGTCTCTTCTCCCTCTCCCTCCGAGAAATCTTAAAAGAAAAAAAAGTACACTTAATCTTCTTTTTCACTAGCAAAACTTGCCATTGGCTTTCACGGTGTTTTGGATTGTGTCTAAACAATTGACTCTGGTTTTCATGGCCTTTCCCAATCGGTTCCATGCTTACCTCTCTTGCTTATATCTTGGTACCCTTTGTTCTCACACTATTTCCTGAACTCCATTTCTGTCCCTGAGAGCCTCAAGCTTTCTTTTATCTGGCTTTGGGGTGTCTACACACACCATCTCTTCTATCTGAACCCTCTTATGTCCATTCCTTCCTCAAACCCCTCAGAGCAAAATTCAAGTATTACCTCCTCCAAGAAGCTTTTCCTGAGACCCCAAATCTCAAACCACACAAAACAAACCAGAGTTAGGGGCATCATCACTCTGTATTTCCCAAATGAACCATACAATATGCCATTATATATAGTTTTTTAATTCTCTTTGGGCCCATTCAGAGCATAAGCTTCAATTGAACAAGAATCTCATGTGCTCCTCAAGCCACTCAACATGAGCTGAAACTGTGCTTGATACAACAGCAAACAGCTCAAAATTACTTTCAGGAAATACTGAAAACAAGCAACAAATCCTATCAGTTTCTGTGAAGGGAGTTGGTAAGCAGCAGCATTGGGGGCGACTAGTATATGCAGCGGGACTCTGAGTGGGTGGATCTTTGACAAGCAGAGATGAGGGAAAACCTGTCCCATATAGAACTCTTTAAAACAGAGGTAAAATAGGTGTGCTTCCAGGGTCAAGTTCATGAGGCCATGTGAAGGAATCACAGAAGAACCTGAAACTGGAAAGTTGGATTACGAATCTGTATATTTAAAGCAGGTGCAATTACTTTGGCAATGCTATTAAAAAGACAGCCCAAATGATACATGCTAAACTGGATTATGCAAAAGCTGAAGCAATACAATTTTTCCCATGTAATGGAAGAATGGACATCTTCCTGTATGCAGTGCCAGACCTGAATCATCCGCTTACTTCATTTACCTTGTGCTTTCTCAGGAGCTCCAGATCGTGAGCAGCATCCTGCGACCCTGAGGAAATAAATGATCTATCTTCACCACAAATGCAATCACTCTCAATTTCCACGTGAATTTTGCATAAGGATTTTCTTAAAAAAACACAATGGGGGGAATCAATGTGGGAGGACATCAGTTCAATTTTTGGAAGGGATATTTGGTAATATTCACCATGAAAATTTGTCTTTATCTATGGACCTTCCCATTTTGAATAATTTACACTAAAATTATAGGTGTTTCAGTGTTCAACACATAACAAAGAAAAACAAAACCAGCAAGCAAAACTACTCCAAGTCAATATAGGTGCTGAGATAAATAAAAGATGGTACAATTACATAGTGAAATCTGCACAGCAATATGTACCACTAGAAATAAAAATTAAAATAGGTAAGGTAAGGGACACATATTTTCAGTATGTTAGGAAATAAAAGCATGCTACAGGGACTTGGAAGATAGCTCAGTGTGTAAAGTACTTTCTAACACAGGACCTGAGTTAGATCCCTAAAACCTACACAAAATCCAGGCATGGTTTGAAATATATAAAAAGCCAAAAAATATGTATATGCTTAAAAACAGAAAGTACATGGAACAAAACATTAAATGGAGGGTTATAGGCGATTTTTTTCCTTATATGAATTGTATTATTTACAACAAACACCTCTTTCTTTTATAAAAGAAAAAAGGGGTATTAAGAAAGCCAAACACCCACAGCGTTAAGTTCAGGCCAGCTGGAGAGGGAACACTCAGTAGCTTTGATGTCCACAGGCTCCCACCCACACACTGTATACCGCTAGTGTGTGCCTTTCACAGTTCTCTCTGTTGAAGACAGTGCTCTACTCTCCCACACTGGGAGATGTTTATAAGCAAATTCTTATCTGAGAATGGTCAGTTAGCACAGAGCAGGTTTCACAAATGATCAAATGGGACATTTACAATGAAGGATTTCAAGAATTTTACTTTCCTGTGGTTCCATTTCCATAAACCATGCTTTCCCCCTCCCCATCCATATCTGAGGACTCAGCCAGCTTCCCTCACATGATTTCAGGTAGCCGAGGGGCCACAAGTACACAGTGGGTCCAAGCTGAGATGTTCCTTACTAAACACACATTCTGCTTCCTACTTGGAAACTGGACTTGGAAACTGGGCATTTAGTAAATAGAAATGGTGGGTTCAGAAATTGTCTGTTCTCTCATCTTTCTGTAATTTTATGCCAGTTTTAAATACTTCACAACTAAAACATAATTCTCAGTTTTTAACTATAGGAAGTCTTAACCATGTTGGGATTGGGGAAAATGTTCAGATAAATTCCTTTTAATTTAATAGTTTAGTGAACATACCATCTTTTAACTAATTATCTTGTTCTGTTCTGCTTGTATTTTAAAATAGTAAAAACTGCAACATGGCTTAAATGAAATTCTTTCCCTTTTCACTGCTCACTGACTGCTTTGGTAAACAGACAGACACTCTCTCTCTCCTTCATACTCTCCCTCTCCCCCAACCCTTCCTTCCTCCCTCCCTTCCTCCTCCCCCTTCCAAACCTGAAACAGACAGGTCAGGTTAATTCTGTTTCAGAAACAGTTCATGTATATTCTAAGTGACTTCCAAATTATAACAGCATTGACATAAACACTGTGTGTTTGTGGTGTTGAGGCAAGTACTCTATTGCCAAATCTCACTATGGTGCTCAAGCTGCCCTCACTCTGTAGCCCAGGTAGGCTTTGAACTAGTTATCATCCTGCCTTGGCTTCTGGAAGAGCTATCATTGCAGCTAACTTAATGTATTTACTTATTTATCCATTTACATTTTTTCTATTTATTGTGTGTAAGAGACAGAGTGGGCAAGAAGGGGAGAGGAAGAGACAGAGACAAAGGATAGACAAAGATAGAGTGCCTGAGTGACTGTGGAGGTCAGAAAAAGCATCAGGAGGTCAAATAACTGAAAAGCACTCATCTGCACATTATCATACAGTGAACAAGATCTGAACTGTCCCCCTCAGCCAAATAATTCACTTAAGTTTTTGCTGTTCATTTGGTGAGAAGATAACATAATATTGTTCTCTGAGTTGCAAAAACTATCTGGCTTTATCCATTCAGTCAATTTAAAGACAGTGTGTTTGACAATTCTTAAGATACATGATATAACAATAATTTACACTGAGTTTTGTCAAGAAACATTCACACTGTCAGAACAACTTTATATGGTGTTTCTTCAATTAAAGTAGATGGATCAATGGATGAGAGCACTTGTTGCTCTTGCAAAGGACCTGTGTTTGAGTCCTAGCACCCACAAGGCAACTCACAACCATCTATAACTCCAGTTTGTGGGAATCTGATGACCTCTTGTGATCTCTGAGACTACCATGCACATGGTGGACATGTATACATACACACAATACATGCACATAAAATAAACTAAAAAAATATTTTGAGCAGATGGTTTTTGGAGGTCTAGGGAGAACAAAAGAATTGTACCACCTAACGTAAGTCTAACTGCAAACAACATAGTGTAACGACAGAGAGTACCAGCCAGTCAGACTTGGACTTGTTGCCCAACTCTGCTATTTACTGAATCTGTTACCTGTGCAAATTACTTACCCAATATTAAAGCCCAGTCCCTGTTTATACCGTGAAGACAAACCCTACTTTGAGACCTTTAAAAGAATTGTGGGTATATGTAACACCTGGTTCGGTGACCAAATGTTAATTTCTCATTCATAAATGTAAAGTAATGCAGACCTATGGGCTAAGCTGCTTTCTAAAGAATACCATACCAGATCAACAAGATAACAAGTGAGTTCTCTTACATGCTTTCTTCATTTGCTATTTGTGGATGGTGCTTGCATACAACTTCAGTACTTCCGTATTACAAGATATGAGGCTATCAGACTGTAAAATAGAAGCCTTGTTCTCAACACACCAAAGACAGACATTATGAGCAATGTAAGAAGCACGCTTTCAATCGCCAAGGAAGCACTTGCTTTTTTGTGCATTTTTTAAAGAACGTAGTCTTTTTATAAAACAAGAAAACATAACACCCCGTTTTCCTCCAGAGAAACTTAGACAAATAAGGGAAAGAAAAATTTCTTCTAAAATTCAATAATCAGGTGTCAAAGTGATAATTGTCGTGGTGACAGAAACGTCCCTATTTTGTTCCTCACCTTAAAAAGTAGACATTTCAACTTTTCATCAGGATAGCTGACAATGATTGTGTACAGTGGGTTATTATACATAGAGGAGGCTAATGGCAAAGGAATCCAGTGGCAAGTCAGTCTACTCACCCAGAAGCAACCAGGGCTTAATAACGCCAACTTGCAGGTCCAAGCTAAGGTCCTGCACATAGCCACAACCACCCCCACCGCTGGGCTCTGCTTCCACAACATGAACTGTGGCATCTTTCCAGCTTTCTATAATTTTCTTTCCAGTTAGCGTGGTCACCCTGGTGCACTGCTTCCTGAGATTATTCCGGGAGAATGCTTTGATTTCTTGGTTCAGGGAGTGCATTACATGAGCGGAGGAGGAAAAGCAGCAAACACAAAGAAACTGCACTCACTACCAGTCACTTACAGTAGCTGGCCGCGGAGGTGACAACCGCACCTCTGACAGAGAGCAGCTCAGCCCTGCTGTCCCCAGCACCGTTCTAAGAAGAGATCTCATTGGCTGCTAAGAAACAGGGACCGATTGAATGCCGCTTCTCATTTGTTGACGAAGTTCTGTGCCTTCCGGGTCCATTCAGACGCAGCTCTGTCGGGGCTTGTCTTTAGTGTTTGATCCCTGCATTATCTTGGACACGGGATGGTCATTTCTAAGACTCACCTGAAGAGAGTTGGTACCTCCTGGCTCTCCAAGGGTAATGCTTTCTGGGAATGTTCGACTACTTACGATGGTGACGGTGGAGACTGCTGCTGAACCATCGACTCTTCCACCCTGCCCGGATCCTCTTGTGGCTCACTGGGCCTAGCCTAAAGGGGCTACAGTGGCTTCCAGGGCCTGCTCCTCTTTTGTCTTCCTTTTTTTTATTTTTTATTTTTTTATTTCTGCTGTTGCCCCCGGGAGAAACATTAACTAGATAAAACCACTGAATATATTAGTGTGGCTCCAACTGAAATGCAATGTAAATAAAAGGTCGTTTTAAATATGTTCCTGTAGATTAGCAAGGCTTAAAATTTGTGTATTCGGATTTTGCACGCCTTAAATACTGAAAGCATGGCCGCAATTGGAGACATAGTTGAGAAAAATCAAGTATACAAACCTAAATATACCAAACGAATGAGTAGAATGATGCTTTTGCCCGCAAAGGATGATTTGTTTCGTAAAATGAAACTACAAGATTTCTTCAACTGAAATTTTCCTACTAACCCTTACTAAAAGGCATTTTTTAAGGTAATTTGAATGTGATGTATAATGTTAAGACTTCAAAAAATGTATTCACCAGCATTACATACAAACATTTGAAACTTTCTGACATTAAAGTTAGTTTATGGGCTGAATTTTTATGTCCTTTCAAAATGAGTTGAAATTATAGGCTCAAGTGTCTTGATATTTGGAGATAGGACTTCTGGAAGGATAAATAGTCTTATATTAAAACATATGACATGTTTAATGGCTTCATGAAAAGGGAAAAGAACTCTTCCTTCCCTTACCCTGTACCAGATAAAGGAGAATAAAGGAAATTGGGAGTAGTGGATGTCCTCAAGCCCAGAGTGGGAACACACCAGAAACCTTGTGTAGGCCAGCACCTTGATTTTATATTTCTTGACCTCCAAACCACAATAATTACTTTTCTCATGCTTACGCTATACAGTTTATACTTCTTGTTAACGGCAGCGGCAGCCTGAGAGAGGAATTCTGTACAACCAGACGGGAGAGGGAAGCCGCATGCGTGTGACCCTCATATTTAAAGCCTTAGTACATCACTCTGACCATACCTAGTCAGCATTACCTGTGCCAGCCCCCAAGTGGGCATGGACAGCATTTCCCCCTACAGAGGAAACAATTTTTCCTTCAAATGGATTTATCTGCTCACAATACCTAATGGGAACTCCAGAGTGAACTGTAAATTGTTTGCATCATTTAGTCAACCGCAGGCTCATCAAAAAAAAAAACTCTAACCATAAATCAATCCATATAATTATCTAACAATGCATACTTACTGCACACTGCACACTTAGTGTTATGCAATAGGCATATAACAATAATTTAGACATGTCATTTTACTTCACCACAAGATATATATATTTATATGTGTGTGTGTGTGCATATATAATGTAATATATATTTATATAAGCCCACAGTTTACAACTGGGGAAACTTGGATGCAGGCAGAGCATTTCACAGCTAAGTTTTGAACCACAAATAAAACTTGAGAGCATTTCAGTCCAGTGCCTCAGGTTTTGTTGTTGTTGTTGTTTTTCTCTTTGTTTGTTTGTTTTTAGTTTTTTGTTGTTGTTTGTTTTGTTTTGTTTTTGTTTTTAAGACAGGGTTTCTGTGTATAATAGCCCTGGCTGTGCTGGAACTCACTCTGTAGACCAGACTGTCCCCAAACTCACAGAGGCCTGCCTGCCTCTGCCTCCTGAGTACTGGAATTAAAAGTGTGTGCTATCACCACCTAGTTTTTTTCTTCTTTACTATAGAATGCTGCTCGGCCCCTAAAGGTAACAGTAACTGTATTGACAAGTGTTAACTATGTGCTAGGTGTGGCATGGATTAAACACATTAGTGATTAACACTGAGTTACCAGTAATGAACCCATGTCACATTAAGAAAAGAAATAAAAAGCACTTCCCCTTGGGGTTATTTAACCAAGACTGAGCCCAGACTTGAATTCCCTATTTCATGTTCCCTGTGTCTTCTGTCTTGTCTGAATCTGTGCCTGCCTGGAGGCTGTCTTGTGACTCTGTCCCTGTATCTGATTTTGCTATCTGTGTTTGTGTATGTTCCTGTACCTGTGTCTGTATCTGGGTCTGTCCCTGTGAGTCTGTCTGTTGTCTTTCTGTGTGTCTGTCCCTGTGGGTCTGTCTGTTGTCTGACTGTGTGTCTGTCCCTGTGAGTCTATTTGTTGTCTGACTGTGTGTCTATCTGTTGTCTGACTGTGTGTCTGTGTGCTCAATCTGTGTGTCTATCTTTTTGAACACCACAGAAAGCATGGGGAAAGAATGATATACTTTATAGACATCTTTAACAGAGTTTTACAAGTGTTTAAACGTGGCTCCACGTGACCCAGACAGTACTACAAATACTATTGTTTATTGGTTAAATATCCAAATGCTTGTTCAACATTTATGGTGGATATTAATTTTAGAATATTGCTTTTAACTTCTGTGTTTGCTGCTTTCAGCAAATGATACACATGCATATTTATGGACTAGGGGCATAGAAGAGTTCATAATTTTAGATTACAGGTATGCATTAGCTGGTTGATTTGTTATATTGTTTTCTTAAAAATAGTTTAAACAAGCAGGCTGAGTACATGGTAAGATAGCAGTCTTATGTCTTAAGTGACCTCAAGGTGTTTTATTAACTCTGCTGTGAGCTCCAGTAAAAGATCCAGTTTCTTAGAATGTAAGAAAAAAATTATTGTAATCATTGCCATAAGGTGCTGTTATATTTTTAATGACTATTAGGGGGAATAAAAAAATTCTGCTGTTTCATGGAGCATGTATTCAAGTGGAGTGAGTAATCGGGTGTGTGTGTGTGTGTCTATGTGTGTACTATGGAGGATCATTACTTAAATGCTAAACAACATGGTGAAAGAACTGTGCGCTATTTGCTACAGGTTGGAGAGAAAAGGCCCATCCAATAAAATCAACTTTGAAACAGAGCCTTAGAGGTATCTGGGTAACATAGGAAATATCTAAAATGCATTTAATGCCTGTGCCATGTACTTCAACAAGTATATAGACAAGAGGGGAATGCTGAGAAGTAGGAGAGGTGGGTGTAGAGGTTCAAGATATCACCAGGTGGTTAATATGGCTTTAGTGAGTTAGTAAAAAAAAAAAATGTCAGAGGAGATAAGGACAGAGAGATAATAAGAACTTTGTGCTGCATTCTTAGTGAGACAGGAAGATACCAGTGACACTACTGGTATAATGGGCCCTATGCTGTGTTAACCAGATGCCTCAAACAAATGCCTGCTGTTTCTACTGCTGTGGGTATTGTTGACCAACAAGGTGACAATTTCTTCAAGGTCTACCTCAGCTTCCAAAGGCTACTATCTGTAGAGTGCATCCATGAGAATCTGGTAAAGGTTCTCAAGCATTTATGTAGATATAAAATAGGGGTAAACACTCACTGACAAAGAACAAGTTCAACGCTACTACTGACCCAGCTGCCTTCGTCTAGTTGTTCTGTCCAGGGGTCGAAAGCACCAACAGCAAGCTGCCTGCTCTTCTCCAACCATCCAAGAGAGCACATGAGCAAGAGAGCAAGAGACCCTTCACTCAGCTTATAAATTGTCATGTAGGCAGACATAGACCATGCCATAGGGTTTGCTGCCCCAAAAGTCATTGGCTAAATTTTAATAGTTATCAAAATCCATAACTATCTGAGGTCACACCCTTCTAGAGTGGCTGGCATCCATGAATGATTGATGTGGGAACCTAGAGGCCTGGTCATCGTCGCCTAATTTGGTACAAGTCTAAAAGGTCACTAACTCTAAAGGACAGCATGTGGTTAGCCTAGGCTATCATAAAATCTATATAATCACTTGACTTCTGTCTTTCCAGTCTTGCTCCCTTCCCCCTTCTATGCATACTGATCCCAAGAATACTTTAAAAGATGAGATTTATTTGTTTACATGCATGTGTGTTTTGTCTGTCTGTGCACAGCATGCATATTGTGCCTGCAGAATAGGGTATCAGATTCCTGGGAACTGGAGTTACAACTCACCTGCCCTGTGGATGCTGGGAATTGCACTTGAGTTCTTCTGTAGAGCAGTCAGTGTTCTTAACCACTGAGCCATATCCAGCCACCCCCAAAAGCACTTAAAAAAAAAAAACTGAATGCTAAACTATATCTCAATCTGCTTCAAATTAAACTGAATTGACAAGCAAAATGTTACTTATTCTGTAAAGAAAAAAGGTAGGTGTAACAAAATTTGTGAGGAGGCCACTGCCACAGTCAGAAAGTGAGTTGACACTTGTTTAGGTTAGAATAGCAGCAGAAAGGGAAGTAACAAAGCATATTCTACATATACACGTTCCTCAACTTAAGATGAAGCTATATCCCCAAACTCCATCTCATGTTGAAATACTCCATCAAATGTGGAAATGCATTTGATACCCTGAACCTATTGCATATTTGAGCCCAGTCACACACCCTTAGTAGAAGGTTGTTTGTTCGTTCTCCTCCCAATGGTATGGCTGTCAGCTGGCAACTTTCACTGCCTCTGCCCAGCATTGCAAGACAGCCTAGCAGCCCACATTGCTAGTCTAGGCAAAGATAAAACTTCAAAGTACATTTTCCACAGTCAATGATCACTTTTGCACCATCATAAGGTAAAAACATCATAAACCAAAACATTACAACTAGGGATGGTTTGTATATGAGAATCAAACCACAAGGAATTGCTAAAAGGATCAATGTACAGGATATTTGGATAATTCCAAATCATTAGCATGAGCAACTGAGTAGT